ATATTTTAAAATGGCTATAACTCCTTAAATATCAACATTTCGGGGTTTTTAGCTATTATTTGTGATCAGTTTATTAAAGAAGAAAAATAGCATATTTTAAAATGGCCATAACTCCTTAAATATCGACATTTCGGTGTTTTTAGCTATTATTTGTGATCAGTTTATTAAAGAAGAAAAATAGCATATTTTAAAATGGCCATAACTCCTTAAATATCAACATAGCATATTTTAAAATGGCCATAACTCCTTAAATATCAACATTTCGGGGTTTTTAGCTATTATTTGTGATCAGTTTATTAAAGAAGAAAAATAGCATATTTTAAAATGGCCATAACTCCTTAAATATCAACATTTCGCGGTTTTTAGCTATTATTTGTGATCAGTTTATTAAAGAAGAAAAATAGCATATTTTAAAATGGTCATAACTCCTTAAATATCAACATTTCGCGGTTTTTAGCTATTATTTGTGATCAGTTTATTAAAGAAGAAAAATAGCATATTTTAAAATGGCCATAACTCCTTAAATATCAACATTTCGGGGTTTTTAGCTATTATTTGTGATCAGTTTATTAAAGAAGAAAAACAGCATAGTTTAAAATGGCCATAACTCCTTAAATATCAACATTTCGGGGTTTTTAGCTATTATTTGTGATCAGTTTATTAAAGAAGAAAAATAGCATATTTTAAAATGGCCATAACTCCTTAAATATCAACATATCGGTGATCTTAGCTATTATTTGTGATCAGTTTTTTAAAGAGGAAAAATAGCATATTTTAAAATGGCCATACTCTTAAACATCAACATTTCGGAGTTTTTAGCTATTATTTGTGATCAGTTATTAAAGAAGAAAATAGCATAATTTAAAATGGCCATAACTCCTTAAATATCAACATTTCGGGGTTTTTAGCTATTATTTGTGATCAGTTTTTTAAAGAGGAAAAATAGCATATTTTAAAATGGCCATAACTCCTTAAATATCAACATTTCGGGATTTTTAGCTATTATTTCTGATCAGTTTTTAAAGGGAAAAAATAGCATATTTTAAAATGGGCATAACTCCTTAAATATCAACATTTCGGGGTTTTTAGCTATATTTGTGATCAGTTTATTAAAGAAGAAAAATAGCATATTTTAAAATGGCCATAACTCCTTAAATATCGACATTTCGGTGTTTTTAGCTATTATTGTGATCTGTTTATTAAAGAAGAAAAATAGCATATTTTAAAATGGCCATAACTCCTTACATATCAACATTTCGGGGTTTTTAGCTATATTTGTGATCAGTTTATTAAAGAAGAAAAATAGCATATTTTAAAATGGCCATAACTCCTTAAATATCAACATAGCATATTTTAAAATGGCCATAACTCCTTAAATATCAACATATCGGTGATCTTAGCTATTATTTGTGATCAGTTTTTTAAAGAGGAAAAATAGCATATTTTAAAATGGCCATAACTCCTTAAACATTAACATTTCTGGGTTTTAGCTATTATTTGTGATCAGTTTATTAAAGAAGAAAAATAGCATATTTTAAAATGGCCATAACTCCTTAAATATCAACATTTCGGGGTTTTTAGCTATTATTTGTGATCAGTTTATTAAAGAAGAAAAGTTGCATATTTTAAAATGGCCATAACTCCTTAAATATCAACATTTCGGGGTTTTTAGCTATTATTTGTGATCAGTTTATTAAAGAAGAAAAATAGCATATTTTAAAATGGCCATAACTCTTTAAATATCAACATTTCGGAGTTTTTACCTATTATTTGTGATCAGTTTATTAAAGAAGAAAAATAGCATATTTTAAAATGGCCATAACTCCTTAAATATCAACATTTCGGGGTTTTTAGCTATTATTTGTGATCAGTTTATTAAAGAAGAAAAATAGCATATTTTTTTTAAATGGCCATAACTCCTTAAATATCAACATTTCGGGGTTTTTAGCTATTATTTGTGATCAGTTTATTAAAGAAGAAAAATAGCATATTTTAAAATGGCCATAACTCCTTAAATATTAACATTTCGGGGTTTTTTAGCTATTATTTGTGATCAGTTTTGTAAAGGGAAAAATAGCATATTTTAAAATGGCCATAACTCCTTAAATATCAACATTTCGGGGCTTTTAGTATTATTTGTGATCAGTTTATTAAAGAAGAAAAATAGCATATTTTACAATGGCCTTAACTCCTTAAATATCAACATTTCGGAGTTTTTAGCTATATTTGTGATCAGTTTATTAAGAAGAAAAATAGCATATTTTAAAATGGCCATAACTCCTTAAATATCAACATTTCGGGGTTTTTAGCTATTATTTGTGATCAGTTTATTAAAGAAGAAAAATAGCATATTTTAAAATGGCCATAACTCCTTAAATATCAACATGTCGGGGTTTTTAGCTATTATTTGTGATCAGTTTTTTTAAAGAGGAAGAAATAGCATATTTTAAAATGGCCATAACTCCTTAAATATTGACATTTCAGCGTTTTTAGCTATTATTTGTGATCAGTTTTTTAAAAAGGAAAAATAGCATATTTTAAAATGGCCATAACTCCTTAAATATCAACATTTCAGGGTTTTTAGCTATTATTTGTGATCAGTTTATTAAAGAAGAAAAATAGCATATTTAAAATGGCCATAACTCCTTAAATATCAACATTTCGGAGTTTTTAGCTATTATTTGTGATCAGTTTATTAAAGAAGAAAAATAGCATATTTTAAAATGGCCATAACTACTTAAATATTAACATTTCGGTGTTTTTAACTCCGAATATTGACATTTCAGCGTTTTTAGCTATTACTTGCGATCACACTTTGAGGCATGAATTACTAAATATTTTAAAATGGCCATAACTCCTTAAATATTGACATTTCAGCGTTTTTAGCTATTATTTGTGATCACTTTTTTCGGCATGAATTATTACATATTTTAAAATGGCCATAACTCCTTAAATATTGACATTTCAGCGTTTTTAGATATTATTTGCGATCACTTTTTTGGGCATGAATTATTACATATTTTCAAATGACCATAACTCCTTAAATACTGACATTTCAGCATTTTTATCTATTATTTGTGATCACTTTTTTGGGCATGAATAACTAAATGTTTTAGAATGTCCATAACTCCTTAAATATTGACATTTCAGCGTTTTTAGCTATTATTTGTGATCACTTTTTGGAGCATGAATAACTAAATGTTTTAAAATGTCCATAACTCCATAAGTATTGACATTTCAGCGTTTTTAGCTATTACTTGCGATCACACTTTGAGGCATGAATTACTAAATATTTTAAAATGGCCATAACTCCTTAAATATTGACATTTCAGCGTTTTTAGCTATTATTTGCGATCACTTTTTTTTGCATGAATTATTACATAGTTTAAAATGGCCATAACACATTAAATATTAACTATTCGGTGTTTTTAGCTATTATTTCTGATCACTTTTTGAGACATGAATTGTTACATATTTTAAAATGGCCATTACTCCTTAAATATTGACATTTCAGTGTTTTTAGCTGTTCAGTATTTGTGGCATGAAATTTTTACATATTTTAAAATGGCCATAACTCCATAAATATTGACATTTCCGCGTTTTTAGCTATTATTTTTGATCACTTTTTGAGACATATATTATTCAATATTTTAAAATGGCCATAACCTCTTAAATATTGACATTTCAGCGTTTTTAGTCATTATTTGTGATCGCTTTTATGGGCATGAATTTTGACATATTTTAAAATGGCCATAACTCCTTAAATATTGACATTTCAGCGTTTTTTTAGCTATTATTTGTGATCACTTTTTGGGACATGAATTGTTATATCATTTAAAATGGCCATACCTCATTAAATATTGACATTTCAGCGTTTTTAGCTATTATTTGTGATCCCTTTTTGGGGCATGATTTACTAAATATTTTAAAACGGCCATAACTCCTTAAATATTGACATTTCAGGCATTTTCATGATTTAAGAGACATTATTCACAAGAATTTTTTCAAGTTTAATATTTGAGTGTTGCAATGGCCTAAACTGGTCCATGTCTTCGTATAGGCCCCAATATAACAGTTACACCCTATTCGGTGTTTTTATGATTTAGACAGTATTTTGTAACTGATTTTTTCGAGAATTTACATATTCCTACTAAATGGTTTAGGATATTCAAGTCTCGGCCCGACCGAACTTAGTGCTTTCCCTTGATTTTTTTCAGGATAAAATCAAAGGCAACATATGTTATTTTCACAGATTTATTTATGTTTTTATTATTATTTAATATTATGGTTGTTTTATTAGTTTAAGATTTAATTACATCTTTTTTTCAAGTCTTCTTTCTAATTTATCAAAATAATTGAATATTTATATATAATAAAATTCAAACAGCTGTACTATAATTACAAACATACATATATATATATAATTTTCATTAACAATTTTTGTTCGGATTGGAAATTGGAAAACCATTATTTTTAATTTAAATAACATAATTTAAGAAAGAAAACAAAATAAAATAAAAACAAAAAAAAAACGGGAAAAGTACAAACAATAAATTTAAAAAAGAAGTGTTTATAATCTAAATATAGTTTGCTTTTACTAGCATTTTATGTTGTTGTTTGTTTTTTTTTTTTTTTTTCTCATTTAAATAAGACAAATATAATTTTGTCCGTTAACTATCACGAAAATTGAGTATTTATAATTAATGAAATTTATAAAATGACAGTGGAAGACATAAAAAGGGGAAGAAGAATAGATGGATAGATTGATAGCTTATCATTTAAGAGAAACACTACTATAAATTTTAACAGTATTGAATAAGGGTCCTTATAGGAGGATTACAGTGCACTTGATTTCATTATCAAGGGTTCCAGTATTTTGTAGGCACACAAGTGTTTTGTGATGGTTGTTTATTCGCCCCATCTATGCAAGTCCTGCACACCAAATACTTGGCCTTTTTCTAAGATGTCTGTTTTTCCTTCTTCAATGAAGCGTTGAGATATTGTTTTTTTTTTTGTTATGGAGTATTTCTTTTTTATTATTACATATATATTTACAAAAATGTGTTTTTTTTTTGGGAGGAAATGGCCTGAAACAAAAAAAAAAAATAATTATTATTTCAAAAAAGGTTTTGTTAAATCACTCAAATGATTTTTTAATATTATTTAAATTTGATTTGTTGCTCAAAGAGCATTTTTGAAAACATAAAATTATTTAATTTAATTATTTTCATTACTTAATATTTTAACGCAACAAAAGCCACCTTAATGTTTTTTCTGTTTTCCCTTTCCTGGTATTTACTTTGAATTCGCCCTAAAGAGAATCCATCATTACTAGCATTGTTATTGCAAATATGGATGAGCAGTCAGACGATTAAGTGATAGGCAGAGAACGTACATACGTACAAACATACATACGTTGAGTGCATCATCTCTGTTTATGTTATTGCTCTGCCTCTGCTGATCGCTCTGCTGCTATTCAATGCAAAAAATATTGTCCCGCTATTCTTTTGGTTGTTGAACCAGAATAGAAAAGAAATAAAACATTCTTATTTGAAACATTTGAAGGAAGCAGAAGTGTTTTAATTTGGTGACGGGCTAGAGGCAAACAAAAAAGTAAAATATTACCCAACATACCTGTTGAGTAAAATTTCATATAAATTGAAAATTGTCATAAAAGTTGAATAAATCTTGCCCATTGGAGCAAATAGAAGGAAATTAACAAGTTGGGCGGCTATTTTTCTTGCTCGTCGAGGAATTTACCAATAAAGTAGATGCTGTGAGCCAAACAAGAGCCAAAGTAAGAACGGAGCAACAGACCTGTAACGCCAATTACGCTAGTAAGTCAAGAGTTCCTGGGACAGCAAGAACGACTTGGAAGGAAATATTGTGCAAGGTATAAGGAGCGTCTGGTAAGAAGCGATTGGATTTCTCAAAGTTTGTGTCATTAACATACTCAAGCCGAACCCTTGAGTGAGGAGTTTTTTCGATTGCATATTGGACAAATTCCGGGGTTGTCAAAATAGGCAATCCTCAAACAGGTTTTTTTCCGTAATTAAATTAAGAGATAATTATAATTCATTTCATGTAAAATAATTTCCAAGGATAATCTTAGCAGTAATTGTAGATCATAATATCATTATACCCTACACCACATAGTGGTAAGGGCATTATGGCTTTGTGCCTTTATTTGTAACATGGATAAGGAAACAAGATAGACCCATAATTCCTTTTGGTGATCAGCTTAGAATCACATTTTGAGTCGATTTATGCATGTCCGTCCGTCCGTCTATCTGTCTGTCCATGTATTTTTGTAAACAAAATGCAGGTCGCATTTATTGTTCAATTGAAATGAAATTTTCTAAATAACATTTGTTTGGCTCAAGAACGAACCCTATTGAAATTGGTGAAAATCGGTCCAAATTTAGATATAACTCCCATATATATCTTTTTGCGATTTTATGTTTCTTGAGCACCAAATGGCTTATATATCAGTCCAAATGGTGTGAATTTTGCTACATCCGACCGAATTCAGCCTACAAGCATGTGCTTCAAATTTGGTGAAAATCCGTTCAGATATAGATATAGCTCCCATATACATGTTTCATCCGATTTTGGTGTTTAAGTCCCTTAGATTCGTTATATGCACTCCACAAGACTGATATTTAGCACCAGATATTAGATACAGCCTAGCAATTCATAGATCAATTTTTATCAAATTCGGTTCAGATTTGGATATAGCTCCCTTCTTCATCTTCATTCATTCGATTTTAGGTTTCTTGTGCACCAAATGGCACTTCCGACCGAATTTAGTATAGAAATAAGTACTTTAAATTTGGTGGAAATCGGTTCAGATATTGCCATAGCGCACATATATATGTTTAATCCGATTTCGTGTTTAAGTCCCTCACATTCGTAATATATACCCCACAAAAATTATTTTTAGTACCAGATATTAGATTCAGCTCAGCAATACATGATTCTAATTTTATCAAGATCGGTTCAGATTTGGATATAGCTCCCCTATATACCTTCGTCCAATTTTAGGTTTTTTGTGCACCAAATGACTAATTTTAGCCCAAAGTGAGTGAAAAGTTGCACTTCCAAATGAATTCATTCTAGAAGTTAACATTTACAACTTGGTGAAAATCGGTTCAGATTTAGCTGTAGCTCCATACATATTTTTCATACAATTTGGTGTTTAAATCTTCAACTTTCGGAATATGCACTCTACTATAATCATATTTTGTACCAGATATCTCATAGAGCTCAGAAATTCCCCAAAATAAACCTTTCTTTTACGAGAGCTCTACTAAATATGCATAGTGGTGTGGGGTATCATATAGTCGGCCCGTCCGACTTTTGAGCTTATCTTGCTGTTTTTTTTAACGAACTTAACTTTAACTTACTTTCTGGAGATCACTTTTGTTGCTGATCCCACTTGGTCACATTTCCTCCCATCATCCGCAGAGCTGAGAATTGGCAACGCTCTGCTCAAGGACCTAATCAAAACTTAATAATCATATTCATCGTAATAGGCTGGCGGTGCTATTTCTCTTCGGCCTCCACTTCCGGTTTGGCGATTTGATTGCGCGACCGGCGCCGTGATGATCGTTCGCCGGCGGATATCTGTTGAGGAGAAATTCGAATCACTATGGTAATTATTGTTGTTGTGGCTGTTGGTATGGAGAGGAGATTGATGATGATTTAGATTTGGATTTGGATTATGATTTGCGAAAGATTCGTAATGATGGTCATGCGATGATTGCTGATTTAGATTTGAATTTTGCTGATGATATTGGTAAGGAACAGAAGACTGAGACTGAGAATGGGCATTAGATGTGGATGCCGAAGAAATAGAAGAGGAGGAGAATGATGAAGAAGAAGAAGAAGAAGAGGTGGATGGTGACATTAATGAATTTCTTGAAGCAATTTCCCGATTCTTATATACAAATGGATCGGACAATGGCAATGAATGGGCTGAGGGAGCGTAATAACTCTGATACGGACGATTATTGGCGTTATTGTCATGATGATGCTGTGGTTGTTGTTGTTGCTGATGATGGATATTATAGTGGGAAGATTGATGCGGCGAAAGCGGTTTAAGCGTTGGATTTAAAGCATCGTTAAGCGTGACATCGTAGTCATTTTCGTAGAGCTCGTCCAATGTGGCCTTGCTAGATGGAACCGATGACTCGGGCTGGCGTGACTGCGAGCTGACGGGTGGCAACATGCTGCGTGGTGGCAATGTGGTACGTGAACCCGAATCACGCAACAGCGGGGCGCCATGTTCGAGCAAATGCACTCCCGACATGGTTGACAAATAATCGGCAGCACTACTGTCGGTGGTGTGCGATTCTACTTGTGGTTGCTGTTGCTGTTTGTGAGCCGAGCCAACGGGTTGTAGGCCCCTTGGCAGGTATGGACTGCCACCACGCGATGGTAGGAATGGTCGTTTAACTACACGTACCGAGGCGGGGCGACTGGTTGGTAAACTGGCTTTATTTGGTGTTTCGGATTCCTCAGCAGTGGGGGCTTCAACTTCATCTACAGCCTCGGAATCGTCAGAGTCTTTGGTTAAGGGTGTCTCGGCTTTGGCGGGGGCATTGCGTGACCGCAGAGCTCCAGGCAAGGGTTTACGTCTGTTAGAAGTTAAGCTGGTCCGGCTTTTTATGGGTGCCTTGACCTCGGGCTCGACTTCTTCATCTTCTTCAATTTCCTCAGAGGGGTCGGGTATTCTTGGCTTCTTGGCACCCTTGCGTGCAGACGACTGGGGTCGTGATCGTTTCGCGGGACGTTCATCATAGTCGTCATCCACAAAATCGACATCATCTTGGATGGGTACACGGCCACGTTTACGTCCATTCAAGGAGTTGCGTCGGCGACCACCACCGCGACCACTGTAACGATCATCGTATTCCTCTTCATCGTCAAGGGGTTTCTTATCGGCCACCGTTGGTTTTCTCAGAGTGCGGGTGGGCTTACGTCCACTGCCTCTTCTGGGTGGCAGATCTTCTTCCTCTTCATCGGCGGAGACATCATCAACGATACGCTTCTTATTGTGGCCGCGTCGTGGTCTTACATCGTATTCCTCATCTTCATAGTAGTCATCATCACCCTCTGCTGCCGACAGGGAAGGAGCAGATGTGGTCGCTGTTTTCTGCACAGGATATTTGAATTTGTTCTTTTCATTTATGGGCACGGGACGGGCAATTCTGGGAGGCGCTCTGGGTCGAGAATACACCGAAGACGGGGCTGCCTTGGGTGTCACAAACTCCTCAAGTGGCTTGGGAGTGGTCTTTACTTTTGGTGGTGCCTCTTCATCGGCAGCTGCTTCTTCTTGATCAGGTATTTTCGATTCGGGTTTTTCATATTCATCCAAATCATCGACCTCATCACTGGGTGCTGCAGTGGTTGAGCTACGTTTCTCGTTGATACGTCTGCGACCGGTCTGACGACGTGGTGGTTCTTCCGGTTCGTCAACATCATCCGCAATGACGGGTGTGGCTTTACGACGTCCACCCAAAGTAGGGCGATCATCGCTGAAGCTTCGTCTTTCATCGGCATTGGCACGTCCCGAAAATCCACCCGGCTTGCGACTGCTTATCTTACGTCTTTCAGCGGCTGGTGTGGGTTTTCCGCGCGGCTTCGTCTTTGGCTTGTCAAAGTCATAATCATCCTCAGCATCAACTTCATCTTGGAAACGTTTCCGGGAGTTCGGTCGTCTGTGAAGAGAGATGAAATTAATTGATTCTTACATTCGAAATTGTTGTTCAAATACCCACCTTGGTTTCTCATCTGCCAGAGATCGTTTTTCATCTTCATAGTCTTCATCCTCATAGTCCACAACGGGACGACGATGACGTGGGCGATTCTTGCGCCTCTTGTTCAAACGTTCCTCATAGTAATCTTCATCATATTCCTCTTCATCGTAGTAATCATCAACGGGTCTACGACTACCGGGTCTACGTAGTGGCCTCAGTGGTCTAACTGGTCGTCTGCGTTGTGTTGGCGGTGGTTCTGTCGTCGTGGTTGTGGTGGAGGTGGTTGTGGTTGCCATATACAAATCGTCATTTCTAGATAAGGAAGATCGAAAGATTTGAAGAGATTACTATCGGAGATAGTTTTGGATTGAATGATGTTGCAAATTCTATTACCTATTCCAATATTTTACGGAACCTTCACAATCCACATCGGAGGCAAAGTGACAAATAAATGTTTTCTGATCGAAAGCTGTGAAATTGGCGCACAGGAAGTCGTGTCTTATGCCATAGACACAATGATGATAAAGCTGAAAAAGAAAGAAATTATTTGAGATGATAAAGCTAAACTCTATATTTTCAAATTAGAGGATAGTGAACGAATGTCACAATAACACAGTGCAATACAAACAAGTAAAAAAACATTACGTTCGGCCGGGCCAAACTTTTAATACCCTTCACCCAAGGGTAAAGAAAACATTAGAGTCCATTATGACCAATTTTTAGACATATTCATGGGAAAATGTGCAAAAAAAATCATCAAAATACCGAATATCGGGAAATACGCCTATATGAGGTTATACAAAAACGTGGACCTATACATACAGTTTTTCGCCAAAAGAGCTAGAATTAATTAAGACCAACAAATACCAATTTTTAGACCAATCAGTGAAAAAATGTGGCAAAAATCATTAAGATATCGAATATCGGGAGGTACCGTTATATGGAGACTATACCAAATCGTGGACATATACATGCAATGTTTCGCCAAAGGAGCTAGAACCCATTATGACCAACAAATACCAATTTTTAGACAAATCCGTGAAAAAATGTGGCAAAAAACAATAAAAATGCCGAATATCGGGAGGTACCCTTATATGGGGTCTATAACAAAGCGTGGACCTATACATGCAATGTTTCGCCACACGAAGTAGGACATATTATGACCTAGAAATACTAATTTTTAGACAAATGAGTTAAAAAATGTGGCAAAAACCATTAAAATGAGGTGATCGACACTTTGGTTTCTTTTAGTGCCAACCTTGCTTTCCAAAATACTCCAGATACAATGGTCCAACGGATTGGTATTCGGAGATTTTGGTGGCCATTGTGCGCTGGAAATGAAGCGAGGATACATCCTCCAGAATATTTTCACGATAACAATTGTCAATTATTTTGATGCCACGGTCGATTAATACGAGCGGAGAGCGACCAACGTCTATTATTGCGGCCCACACCATCACCAGGGTCGGTGCTTGAGTTCTGGTGGCCAACCGAAGGTGCACATTTTCAGCTGGCCTCTTTGGCAAGTACACACCAACATTTTGTTTGTTTACAAACTACTGGACATCGAATGTTTTCTCATCGGAGACGGAGAGAACCAAATTCGGCAGTTCACCATTTTCGACCAAGCGAAGCAACTTTTTAGCTCTTTAGAGTCTATTTTCTTGCTGTTGCGGTGTAAGTTCTTGCACTTTTTGGAATTTCAACGGCTTTACCCCGAACTCATTTTTCAATATTTGCCGAATGGAATTTTGCTATATGTTCAGCTCACTAGACATTTTTCGGCCACTGCGACGCGTGTTTCGATCAAGTCGCTTCTTTACTTTTCGAACCATTTCTGCTGATGTTGCTGTTTTCTTCCGTTCTCTTGACGTTGGGCTACGCTACAAGTATCACAGTAACTAGCGATGATACGAGACACAAACGATTTATTCAGAATTAAATACTGGAGTGCTCTAACAATAACCACTTGTGGGTTTCCAGCCAAATATAAAGAAATCACGCTACCACGCTTGAATTCCATCACGAATAATTTTTTTTTCTGGAAAATTCTCACCAAAATGCTTTTGTATGCTTGTAAACAATATAATGAGCTGTCACGGGAATAATTTTAACAGCTGTCGGACGGGTGGCATTGAAATGACAGTAGTCTGAAGTTGCTTGCAGTTTTTCATCTCACCCTGTAGTATAGTTTCCTATGTCGGGACCGATATTTCGATGTGTTACATAATTTTTGGCCCAAACAAGCTTATAATACCCCGACACACCGTGTTGTAGGTTATAACCAGTAAAGAAAGTCCTAAAGTCGGGCGGGGCCGATTTTATGATACCCTACACCACTTTGCTAATTTAGTTGAGCTCCACTTAATAATTAAAAGTTTTTATGGGAGAATTCAATCATACACGCTATGATTATAATTTAAAATTCAAAGGACTAAATATGCCGAAGCATTTATATCTTTTAAATTCGGAATTGTATTGCCCATTTGGTGCACAATTAATTTGAAATCGGATAAAGATATATATGGGAGCTATATCCAAATCTGAACCGATCTCGGTAAAATTTGGCAAAGATATTTCTGAGCTGTATTTGATATATTTCCCTGAATATCGTTGTTATGGAGTGCATATTACGGCTGTAGGTAACAAATACAACAAATCGGATGAACAATATATATGGGAGCTATAGCTACATCTGAACCGATTTCGATCAAATTTGGCATACTTATTTTCAGGCCTAATTTGGTTGTATGTGCAAAATTCCATACTATTCGGGGTGATATTACACGTTTGGTGCACAATAAAAGGCAAATCGGACGAAGATATATATGGGAGCTATATCTAAATTTTTACCGATTATCTCCAATTTCAATAGGGTTCGTCCTTGGGCCAAAAAAATGTTATTTGCGAAATTTCATCTCAATCGGATAATAAATGCGAGCATTTTGTTCACAAGAATACATGGACAGACGGAGGGACGGACGGACGGACTGACATGCATAAATCAACTCAGAAAGTGATTCTATGCAGATCATCAAAAGGAACTATGGGTCTATCTCGTTTCCTTTTGCCTGTTACAAACAAATGCACAAAGACATAATACCCTGACCACCTTGTGGTGTAGGGTATAAAAAGCTAAGTACCTGGAGATACCGTATTGTGGGTCCTATAAGAAAAAGTACAAATTCTTATTGTGATTTTTTATGAAGGCAACAATATAGGGACTAAGCCTGACTATTTTACAAAACCATAATAACTACAGTATCTCCAATAGAATGCCAACAAATTTTCTGATCGAATATACATATTCACTTTGTAAGGTGTAATCTGATTATTTTGACAAGTTGCAAATGAGATGCGAAAATAGTGTAACTCTAATGTGACTTGATTAAAGCAGACAAATAGATAGACTAACGGTCATAAGAATTTCAGGCAGGTCAACACTATTGATACTTTTTGGAACCTCGTACGAATATTTCGATTTATTTCTTGAAATCCGATATATAAGAATGCCCACGTTTTTGCATTTCCGGTAAAAACAGCACTCCTATTTAAATATGTATTTCTCATGAAATATTATCTCTTCAAATTCAATCTCAGAGATTTATGTTTCAATGTATGCCAACTGGTATACAAATATCTCACTGCCATGCTTTATACAAAGTACAGATGGCGAGGGTGAACTATCACGTGGTAAACCTACTCATTGTAGACATTTTTTATGTATAGCTTTTTTTTTTTAAATAAACCGACGCTAATATAAACAAAACTCTCACACATAATTACTTAATTTCGTTTGTCCAAAAAAACGGTGTGAACGACAAAAACCGGTATTAGAGACAAAAGCAAGCAAATAATGATAGGTTTTTTTTGGCAGCAGCTTTAGGCATTAAAGGTAGCAGCATACCATTTCATTTATTTTTGGGTCAAGATCAACAAACCAAAAAAATAAAATAAAAAATGCTACACAATTGCATGGCAAGGTCAAAAGGGGTTACAAGCCGTTCCAAAAGTAACAGTGTAAATGTAATTGTTTTCTAAACTAGGAAAATCACTTTACAACTACTTTCAATGTGAATGCTTTAATGGGTCAAGGTCATGTGGAACAGTGTGGTGAACGGCATTTGGGTCTATATATTTTTTTCATATTCGTATGTATTCCTTATGAGAATAAACAAAACATGGTATTTATAACAAGTAAGCAAAGGCTATAGTTGTGCGGGGCCGACCATGTGATACCCTACAACACTGCAATATGTTGGAAGCCCCTCTTATGTCCAAATCTATTTTGGAAGATTTTCTTTTTGAAATAATGTCATAGAGCCCTACTAAGATGTTGACCTTATTTAGGCACCACGAAATAAATTCAACAAAAGTCGTGGTCCACCTTACAGCTAAAAAAAATCCAATGGTCATTTAAAATGCTCGACTTCTTCCCTATCCCTAACTCTCTCTTCATGCAAACATCTTTGTCGATTGGTTTTCAATTGTGACCTGTTGGGCGACTGCAAAATAAGGAAAATTTTATTCCATTTTTATACCATCCACCATTAAGTTTGTCATACCGTTTGTAACACCTCGAAATGTACATTTTAGACCCCACAAACTATATATATTTTTGATGAGCATAACATTATACGTCCATATAGCGATGTCCGTCCGTCTGTGGAAATCACTCTAGCTTCCGAACGAAATGAAGTAGGTTAATAAAATTTTACTCAAATGTATATTATGTCTGTATGTTTGGTATTGAAAATGTAGGTCCACGTATTGGTATAGCGCCTAAATAATGGTACCTTCCTATTTTCAGTATTTTGAAGATTTAGGCGACATTTTTCATTTCAAATTTGGTATTTGAAGTTCGTAATGGATGCTGCAGCCTATGAAAGAAAATTGTCTATGCAGGTCCAGGTTTTCGTATAGCCCCCCATATAATGGGACCTCCCGATATTCGGTACTTTGATTATTTAACAACATTATTCAGCGAAATTGTTTCAAATTTGATATTTGAAGTTCACAATGGATACTACAGCCCATGACAGAAAATTGTCTGTGGAGGTCCATGTCTTCGTATAGCCCCCCATATAATGGGACCTCCCGATATTCGGTACTTTGATTATTTAACAACATTATTCACCGGAATTGTTTAAAATTTGGTATTTAAAGTTCGTAATGAATACTACAGCTCATAACAGAAAATTGTCTGTGCAGGTCCACGTTCTGGTATAGCCCCGATATAATAGTACCTTCCTATATTCGATATTTTGATGATTTTAGCTACATTATTCACCGATTTTTTTTCAAGTTTCGCATTTGAATATTGTAATGGCTGTATTGGCAAAAGTTTCCTATGCAGGTCCACGTCGTCATATAGACCCTAATATAACGGCTACAGTTTTAGTAGTTTTAGGATTTTAACATAATTTTTAACGGATTTTTGTGTTTGATTTCTCTTTCGAGACGAGCTTAATGATCTGAAATTCGCAGTGAAAAGGAAAGCCAGATAGACACTATCACACACTCACCACTATGCGACGCGTTTCGCCGTTGGTTAAGCGGCTCATCAGTCATATTTGGTGTGGATGATGGCTTACAAGGGCCGTTCTCTGGAAAGTAGTATATATTTCGAACTTATTGCAAATTAGCATATGCGAATTATACACTAGAAACTCTCCAGGTTCGACTCAAGTTCTATTGGCAGACCTTTTTCACAGCAAATTTTTTTTGTTTTTGTAGTGATGGATTTTTTGTCCACAACAACTACATTGCTTCCAATGCATACACTTGTTTTAGTGCTACTTTAGGAAGAACATAGAGACGGCAACTTCTAGTTGGCTGCACACCGAGGTCCGCGGTTCAAATCCCACAGCCAGGCTCGGCTGAATTTTTGAGTTTTTGCCTTATTAAGGCGAAGATCATATGTTTTATGATTTATGTGTTTGACTTCTCTTTCGAGACGAGCTTAATGATCTGAAATTCGCAGTGAAGGATTTTATTTTTTTAATTGCCAAATTTGTTTAAAATGCTGGAGGGTATTCAAAGTTCGGCCCGGCCGAACTTACAGTTTTTTTACTTGTTTATTTTTTTTTTGTCCGTTTGAACCCCTTAATGTAATGTTTTCAAAAACAATGGGCTTTAATTCTGACCCTAACCCAACAACCATGCTAAATTTTCTTGAGGATAAGACAATGTACTGCGACCTGTATACAATACCTTCAACATATAGTGTTACGGAGTGTAGAAAAACATTAGAAAATGTACAATTAAAAATTGTAAGTCAAATTGAAAAAAAAAGATCGCATGCGATAAAAAACATACAAAATTGAAAAAAAATGTAACAGAAATGATTTCCCATATTTTTACTGGAGTTTCATACATTTGATGCTTTATTGAATTGATCAGAATTGATCAGAATTAGTAACTATTTTGCTACATTTCGAATATCTTGGCTACCAGCATCACTGCAATAGTCAGAACTGACCTTTTAATATATTTGACATGGAAAGACGGACGGACAAACATAGCTAGATCGACTCAGCTCGGCGAGATGGGAAGAGCCATATATAGTTTCCTATGTCGGGGACCAATATTTCGAGGTGTTACAAAACATGGTGTTGCAGTGTAAAAAAAAAACAAGAAAAATGGGATTAAGTCTGGCAATAAGGCGATAATTTATCTTTAGGCAGTATCATTTGGATAAATAAATAACTTCTTATATTAAATTTTTGCAGCTGTTTATTACGATAATTGCATTATCATGTTCTATTGGATTGACGTTGTCATAATTAATGAAATGTTTAAAATAATTGGTAATATATTTTATTCATTTATTTATTGCAACTTACCTGACATTTATATTCTATGGATGCATAGAAGCCATCATGCAAACCATCACACTTAAAATGGATATCTTCATCGGCAGGGGTCGTTGCTAAGAATGGATACGAGGACAAATTGTAGCTGTGAAATGGGAAAAATAAAAATTCAAAAATGATCAATTAGTACAATAGAATTCAAAAAAGTCTCAAGTTGAACTAATTAATGGTAGTTGCAATGTGTTACCCTCTCAATTCTCTGGGCAAGTTGGGATCCCAAATGTAATCGATTTGTGGTATACCCGTCAGCTTGGATTCTCTTGAATTGGGTTTTGGTGTGGCCTCGTTCTAAAATTGTAAAGAAGAAGAAATAAAAATTATATAAATTTAATCAATTATAAAGGTATATATTTGCGTAAAAAGTTATAAAAGAATTGAATATTGAACTGGATAGGAAAACTGGTTTATTTATTAAAATTACATAAATTTAGATATATACTCATATCCATAACTAAACCTATCAAAGCATTTTTTTAAGGAAGACGTTTTCCCAATATTATTATTAACAAGTTAAAAAGGTTTTGCCGACAGATGTACCCTCAGCCAATATTCTCTTATGATTGTTCGAATTATTGACCCTCAATGGAGTAGGTTCCGGAGGAATGATCCAATATTGTCAGACCTAAATAAATATGAAATAAATATTGCAATGATCCAGTTTTGGACCATATTGGTTGCTTCCTTCACTTTATATGAGATATGTGATAATTGTTAGCAAATGTTAAAATGTTCATGAGGTACCAGATATAGTCGACAGAAGTATTTAGTTTTCATACTTCATCTCATACAGACAAAAATATTGGTATGGGCTAAATTACGAGAAAATCATTTTGATCTAATTTTATGCGAAGTCCTAAATTCCATATTCTTTTCAGGTCTCTGGTTTGGAGAAATGCTTAGATTAGCAAATTATGACAAAAGTACCAGAAGGGGTTCGCAGATATACAGGGTGAGATGAAAAAAAAACAGTAAGTTTGGTCGGGCCGAACTTTGAATACCCTCCACCATTTGGAACGAATTAGAACAATTTCAAAAAATAAAAAAAAAAATCCATTAAAAATTCCTTTTAAAAATGTGTCTAAAATCATCAAAATAACGAATATCGGGGGGTACCGTTATATGGGGGATATACGATATCATGAACCTATATAGAGAACTCCCTGTCAGGGGGTAAAGTGCTCACAAGTAACCCCTTGTGTAGAATTTTAGACAATTCCGTCGAAAAATGCGGCTAAAATCATCGAAATACCGAATATCGGCGGTACCGTTATATGGGGGATATACGATATCATTGACCTCTATAGACAATTCTCTTTCAGGGGGTAAAGTGCCCACAAAGTACTCTTCGTGTGGATTTTCAGACTATTCTATTTGAAATGTGGCTAAAACCATTAAAATACAGAATATTGGGGGGTACCGTTATATGGGGGCTATACGATGTCGTGGACCTATATAGATAATTCTCAGCCAAGAGAAAAGTACCCACAAAGAACACCTTGTGTAGAATTCCAGGCAATTACATTGAAAAATGTGGCTAACATAACTGCTTGTGTGGATTTTTAATCAAAATACCGGATATCGGGGGTACCGTTATATGGGGGCTATACGATATCGTGGGCCCATATAGCCTATCTTCGAACTTGACCTGCCTGCAGACAAAAGAGAGATCTGGGCAAAATTTTAGCTTTCTATCTTTATTTGTTTAGCCTGTAGCGTGATTACAACAGACGGACGGACAGGGATAAATCGTCTTAGAATTTTACGCTGATCAAGAATATATATACTTTGTTGGGTCTAAAATGATTATTTCGATGAGTTACAAACGGAATGACGAACTTAATATACCCTCCATACTATGTATGGTGGAGGGTATAAAAATGCAACCAACTTCAGACTGCTGTCATTTCAAAGCCACTCGTCCGACAGCTGTTAAAATTATTCCATTATATTGTTTACAAGACTACAGAAGCATTTTGGTGAAAATTTTCCAGAAAAAAGTTATTCGTGATGGAAGTCAAGCGTGATAGTGCGATTTCTTTATATTTGACAAGTGGCTATCGTTAGAGCACTCCAGCAATTAAATGTGAATAAATCTTTTGTGTCTCGTACCATCGCTCGTTACCGAGCAAAATTCAAATCTTCTGCCAGCAGAAGATTTGAATTTTGAAGAGAGTTGAATGCTTATTTCACTTTCTTTGAGCGTTTTCTTTTTTAAAATATTGAACCCTATGTGGGGGAGGTACCCGAAGAAATGGCCCGATCTGTACCATCTTTATAACAGATTTTGTGTTAATAGAAATATTAAGATGCATCAAGTCTGCATTGAATCGAATGTTTATTTCGCATTTTATGAGCTTCATGGATATTCAAAATTTTACCCTTTGTGGTGGAGGTATCAGAAGGAGTGGATATATTCCATCTTCACAGCATATCTTGTGTAAGTAGAGATAATAGGTATGTGTGAAATATGACGAGAACCGAATGCTGATTTCTGATTTTGTAATCTTTTTGTGTATTCAAAAATTTGACCCTTTGTGGGGAGGTACCAGGACGACTGTTCCGATCTCTACCATCTTAATAACAGATTTTGTGTTGATAGAAATATTGAGATGTGCCAAGTCTGAATGGAAGCGGATGTTATTTTGGGTTTTTATGAGCTTCATGGATATTCCAAATGTTGACCCTTCGTGGGGGAGTTACGACAAGGAGTTAAGCGATAGATTCCATCTTCACACTTGACTTTGGGTTAATTAAAGTATTGTGATATGCGTAATTTGAAGGCAATCGGACTCTTACATCACATTTTATATGACTTGTAATTATTCAAAATATTGATAATTTATGGGGGAAATTTTGAAATTTTGCATGAGGGCCAGCCTTGCTGCGTAGACGTGAGATGGGAATAGGTTTTTTGGAAATCGTACTAAAAAGATTACGACAAGTACTAAAATGTACTAAAAATTGAATACTTTATTCTGGACAAATGAAATTAGCTAGAATTCTGAAATTCGAAAGGAGTAATGGAGTACAGGGCAGATGTACCAAAGGGTATTTGGAAATTCGTACTTTAAGGAAATGAAAAGTACTAAAATGTTACTAAAATTCCCAAATGGTACCATTTGGTATTATATGAAAAGAAAGAGCGAAAAATTTGAAGTTTGGTGTTAGAATTAAAGTTGGAAAGTAAGTTTAATGTACGAAGGTGGTTCGAAAAATTTTAAGAAGTGTCCGTACTCTACAAAATCGTACTAAATTTGGATTCAGGTTGATTCAGGTGATGATGCTGAAATTCTCATATTTTGTATTGAGGTTCATGTTGGCAGTGGGCTTGTGTAAAAATTTGGTTTCGGAAATGTGTACAAGTGTACTAAACAGTACTATATTTAGTACAATTTGGTATGGAACGAACATAACATAACATATGAATTTTAAATTATAACATGCTTGAAGTCTAGAATTCGGCTTAGAGTCGCTTTCATGTTGAGCACGGACATAGGGAGGTAGCTTTGGTAAATGTGTACTATTATTGAACAAATAGTATTGAATGGTACTATATTTGGTATTTCGTGACGAGATTGAGATAAAATTCTCATATTTTGTATTTAAAATACTGATGATATCTGTGTTTGAGATTTGGCAGCGACGTGGACCTACATGGCCTATTTGCAATACCAAAAGTCCTGCAGACATAATGTACATTTGATTAAAATTTTATCAATCTACTTAATTTTGTTCGGAAGCTAGAGTGGTTTCCACAGACGGACAGACGGACGGTCATCGCTAAATCGAAATACAATTTTATGCTGATCAAAAATTTTATGCTGATCGAAATGTATATTTCGAGGTATTGCAAACGTAATGACAAACTTAATATACCCACCATATTATGTATAAAAATATTGTAAAACTGAACAAATTGTGGCTTTTAAGTACAGGGTTGCCCATATTCGACGGACCCATGACCATGACGAGGCTTGTCCGCAGGCAACATTCTTTGCGTCAATTGAATTTTGTACGGGAACAAATGCCAATAAATGCGAATAATCCGTTGTAAAGGGGACCGAGCCATGCCCAACTGCTGAGAACGGCGTTTTTGAGATGTTCTTGGGGATCTCACAGCACTGGCTCGTACGGCAGCGATATTCTCGGCCGATCGCCTTGGTCGACTTTTATATGGCCTCTCCGGATTAGAAAGAGCCTTACCAGTCGAAAATTTGTCGTTTAAACGCTTAATGGTGTTCTTAGAAGGCGCACTTCTCACATTTTTTAATGTTTTAAAAGCACGTTGAGTTTTCACAATTGACTTCTTGTAAATTTCAACTATTTCAGAGCGCTCGCGTGGCGCGTATTTGTTCATGGTAAAAATCTGCTTTGACTGACACTTCAAACGCGGTATGTCATTAAGCGATGTGACATCTCTGTCAAAAGTTATGGCGTTGCCAGATGGGTCCCTCGAATATGGGCAACCCTGTACTGAATGGTGGAATTTTACCTGACGATGCAGCGGACACATGCTAGTTATATATATGAGACTCATAGTTATATTTTCTTCAAGTTTGAATTCGATCTTGTTTCAATTTCACCCTCTAAATAGTATCTGATGACTATCAAAAAAAGGTAGGCTTCTGCCCTGTCATAAACTCTAGCTTCATGCTGAATTTCCCATATATAGATCTTTTCTTGTGACCTGTAGAAGGATTGAAAAATCAGGCAAAATTTCTGACCGTAAACCATGAGGATCTGTCTATAATTGCAACCTAAAGCGTGATTACAAATTAATATGGACTGGCGAACTGATGGACGCACACACATGGCTAGATCGATTCAGATTGGCGAAATAACATCTATCATCATGGGTCTAGAATCAACTTTTCGAGGTTTTTGCATATATTTCGACCCATTCAAATTTATAAAACCTCCAACAACAATAGTTTCGCAGGGTATACAGGGTTGCCCATATTGGATTGTTATGCGACTTGTGTGCGGTGGAGCGCCGTCTTGTTGAAACCAGAACTGCCTCATACGCTTTCGACGAATAATTGGTATCACAAAATTGGTCATCATGTCGCGATAACGCTCCTGATTGATGGTAACAGCATGGCCATTTTCATTTTGGAAGAAAAACGGCCCAATGACCGTTTTCGCACTAACACCGCACCAAACTATGACTTTTTCGTCATGAAGAGGCACTTCTTGAATCTTTTGAGGATTTTCAGTGGCGTAAAAACGGCAATTTTGCTTATTTACGGACCCATTCAATGTGAAATGGGCTTCATCGGACATGATAATTTTGTTCCAAAATTGCTCGTCATCTTCGGCCATTTCAATGACTCTTTGGGCCCATTCCAATCGACGAGGCTTGTCATGGTAAATGCTTTGACTGACACTTCAAACGCGGTATGTCATTAAGCGATGAGACATCTCTGTCAAAAGTTATGGCGTTGCCAGATGGGTCCGTCGAATGTGGGCAACCCAGTAGAGATCTTAATTCTCATATAAACGGATTTCGTCCATATTTCTCAAAATTTAGTACCTTAATCAAGTGGAAAGATGTCGGTCTATGTTTTTCGATAACTCCCTATAAATGTTCAATATTGTGTGTTATCACAAATCAAAGTTATAAATAGATTATTAATATCACTTTCAATAAAGTGCCAAATACACATTCAGAATTCATTTTGACTATCAGTATCCGATTTATACCACCCACTTATTTGTTTAATAATACACACTTTCTTAATATTACTTAAAAAAATCTCACAAAAAATATTTGAGGTTCGTCACACATGCTCGGAGGTTAATAGCCTCGATTGACAGTAGAAATAGAAAATAGAATTCAAAAAAACTCTGCGTTATTCTTTTCCAATAAACGTGATTTGTTTTTCAAATAAAAGAAAATACTTTCGCCTAGGCCGACAATGTTTCTGACGACACTCAAAATGGCCTACCATAAAAGGTTAACTAAGTAAGTGGAACGCAATGTGTGCGCTTACCCCTTGCTAATTAATAAACAAACTACACAAGTATTTGATTGACCGGCCAGTGGCCTCCTCAAATAAAAAAAAATAACAAAATTCGAAAACACTTTTCATTTCAAAAGAGGCGAATTTTCTAAAATCATTTTTACTTACCTTTTGTTCTTCCACTTTCTCCTCAGCCGCCGTTGAAGATTCATCAGAACTTGCCTCGCTTGCGGCAGCACCTGGTGTTGTGGGTGTTGTTGTTGATGTGGTCTTGGGGGCAATGGAAACTTTTTTGAATGGCGCAACAGCATCAACCTGTTGAGCTATGGCAAAAACTAAAAGAACTGCAAAGAGAAAATGAAGAACAAAAAGAAGAAGAAGATGAAGTGTTTGTTGTCATAAATCAATAACGAACAAATAAGGGAGCCTTGACAATGAAATTAATTAAAAAGATAGATAATTTTGTAAAAACTATACGAATATTAGTAGTTTATGATGATCAAAAGCGTGATGATATTGAACTTGATGGCTTTGTAGTTTTCCTAGTCTGAAGTGTGTTGTCTCAAGGTTTTAAATTTATAAGTATTAGTAGGTGTCGTTTGTTTTGTTTTTTCGATGTTGACAGGTTTGTTTTTGTTTTTTAATTGTCTTACCAGCTGCTATTAAACTCCATTGTTTGGCTCTCTTCATTGTGATGAAAAACCCCTTAGATTAAGAGAATTTTTAAAAACCTGTAATGAGAGAGAGAGAAAATGAATATGAGGTTAGACAAATGATTAGAATTTTTTAGAAATGTATGGAATATTTTAAATTCTATATTTAAATTAGAAATATGTATACGAGCTCGCATGGTGGTTTGTTGTACGCTGTGCTACATATTTGATTCAGCTAAGAAAACTAAATGTTAACAATTTTTCCAACCGTATACATTCTGCGAAAATATTGAGAAATAAACTAATTTTTGTAATATTTCAGCGACGACTTCCATATCAAACAAGTAAGCAAAGGCTACAGTCGAGCGGGGCCGTCCGTTGAATACCCTACAACTCTATTATAAACGATACAGTTTATATAGGCGAGATACTCGAAAGAATTCCACAAGATATTGTGACAAATAATAAAAGAAAACCATCAGGTTTCGTTCTCTAATTTTCGAATAATAGCAACTTTAACCAATTTGCTCATTTCCAATTTATTAGAAGATGTTGCACTTAAATGGTCTTCCTAGATCTGGAACCAATATTTCCCAAAGACCTATAATCTCTCAGAAGTGGCAAAAGATTAACATTTATTATTGGTTTTTGACTGAATCGTATTTGTGAATTCTCCAAAGAATCACTGGAATGGACATTTTCGTATTTTGTCTACAAAAGTTGGCAAACTATTTCGCACATTGATATTTTTGGATGGCCATCCAAAACTGCTTGGCTTTTTGCAATACCCGTAACACCCATTCAAATGTGCGTGAGGATCGGGCAATAATTACGACCAGCTGACAATTTTGCAGTTTTTTCCAAAAAGAGTAGGCTTCTATTCTGACCCTCATCTGATCCCCATGCAAAATTTCGTTAGGATCGGGACATAAATGCGATCTGTATATGATATCCTGATATCCTAACTACTTACTTTTGTTAGCTGTAGAAATATTACCAAATGTTTAATTCAAAATGAAAATATGCCAAAAATGTGACAAATATGAAAAAAATATGAGAAAATGTTACAAAATCAATATTTTCATCTTTGGAGAGATATTTTTATGCGATTTTTTAGACGTTTTTTCTTTCCTGCCAAGAGGCCATTCTGAATTAATGAGAAATGTCGACATCAGTTCAGCCGTTCTCGACATATACGAGATTTTTCAAGCATCTTCTTTGATAATGTTTATCGCTCATATTTTGCTATATATCCGTTTTGTTGGATGTTAACATCAATGTAAAGATCAGAAGTAACCTTGTCATGGCTTTGTGATTTAAAATATTCGCGGTTTAATGAAAAATTTTGAATTTTTTCAACACAAAAGATATGGTATATTTTACCCGCTAAATATTATCCGATGACCAAAATTGGTAGGCTTCTTCCCCGCCCTAAACTCTAGCTACATGCGAAATTCCGCGTCGATTGGTCTATAATTGCGACCTGTATAGCTACTGCAAAATCCGACGTTTTTTCAGTATTTGGTCCATTTCAACCCCTAAATATTTGGCGATCATCTCCAAAAGAAATAGGCTTCTATTCTGACCCTAACCCCACCTTCGTGCAAAATTTCGTTAGGATCGGCCATAATTGCGACCTGTAGCGTGATTACAAATTAACATGGACAGACGGATAGACGGACGGACGGACATACATAGCTAGATCGACTCAGCTCGGCGAGCTAGGAAGATCCATATATACTTTCCTATATGGGGAACCAATATTTCGAGGTGTAAATTCTGGCCCAATCAAACTTATAATACCCCCAACGCATATCCAAATCCAGCTCTTTCTCTTAACCACAGACTACAACAGTGACATCCCTATCAAATTTCAGCTCTATTCCGTCACGCAATACCAAATTTAGCACGACTTAGTACTTTTCGCGCAATTGGAGTATACATTTCCAAAACTACCTCCATAGCCTAATTGAAACCTCATTATCAAACTTGAAGATTCCCGACCCATCCATCAATCCAATACCAAATTCTGTATCATCTAGTACTTTCCGTGCATATATAGGACATTTCCAAACTACCTCCATAGCTCAATTCCAGATACCACTTGAAATCTCAATATCAAATTTGAGGATTCCCGACCTATCCCTTAATCCAATACCAAATTTTGTATCATTTAGTACTTTCCGTACTTATATAGGACGCACTGCGAAATCTCAAACAAAGATACCATCAGTAATCTAATTTCAAAGTAATATATTTTCACTTTCATCCAATACCAAATTTAGTACCGTTCAGTACTATTCATACAACAATAGAACACATTTCCGAAACCACCTCCATATGTCCAGGCTACGCATGAAGAGCGATCCTAATACCAAATTTCAGATTTCAAGCATTATCTGTTCACCAAATACAAAATCGTACCAAATATAGTACTATTAAGTACTTTTGGTGCACTTGTACACATTTCCAAAACTAACTTTTTATCACAAACCAATAGTTGTTAACCCTAAACCAATCTGTTCCAAATTTAGAACCATTTGGTACAGTCCGCACACTTAGTACATATTTCTCAAATCCATCTACATATATCAAATTTACTTCCCAACCTTGATTCTCATACCAAATTTCGCATTTTAGAAATTTAGTACCATTTTAGAACTTTTCGTAGCCTTTAAGTTCGAACTTCCAAAAACCTTATGCTAAATTTTTCCTGCACTCCATCAGTGACTCTCAATCTTAATTTCATTCTAGCTCACTCCGTTTTTTCCGATTCAAAGTATTAAATTTTTAGTACATTTTAGTACTTTTCGTACGCTTTTAGTACGAATTTCCAAAAAAACTTGTGACCCTTGTGCAATATTTCAAGATTCTAGTTTTAGCCGTTTCGCACGCACCCCTATACTTATGTATCAGGGTCAACCAACCAATCAACTATGATCGCTATTGAATATGTACCTGGTTTCCACTAAATATGAAAGGGGTAATTTTAGGCTGTAAGTATCCAAGCAAATTTCATTACTTTGCAATCATATTATATCCGAATCGATTTTGTCAAAACATGACAATCTTTATGTTTAGTCAGACTTTGTTTGTTCTTACTCCTCTCAAACCCGCCCCTGCCGACGGAGGGGACACCTCCCTACACGCAGAAAGAGCAGATGTAAAATTATTGGACAAACACAGCATTTATCGAGGCACAAAAAATAATTGTCCTCAAAAAAGAGAAAGGCTTAACCAATTTTCATCCACAAAATGAGGTGCAAAATGGAATATAGCGGCCCACTCTTTTTGGTATCTCGAATGTATCTCTTAGAGCATGTTGTTTCGCATGCGTCTCATTTTAAACTTGGCATATCTAAATATTTCTCTCAACAATATATCTGATGTGAATATTGAATTTATATGCTCACTCTTTTTGGGAACTCTCCCTCAGGCATCGTCAAGTGCAAGGGCCAGGACCAATTGAAGATGGTAAATTTATGATATTTTCAGAACAAAATCTAATTTTTGTCTATTGGGCCGATATATTCAAATTTCAGAACGTTGTTATATTTATATGAGATTTAGGTCTGATACGAAATGAACATATTGGCCTAAACCTCCGGTTTCACGCCCAAAGAGGGTCAACATTTTGAATAATCATAACCCAAGTCAAAATATATTTTAATAAATTGACGACTATTACTTTTTAAGTGTTTTATTTTTTCTGCAAATAAAGCACTTTTTCCGAATTCCTTACAAACTCTCTTAAAAGTTTTCTGGGCAACAACCAATCTGGGGTGTAAGAAATTCCAAGCAGATTTTATAGTTTTCGGTTTGCCCTTTATATAATGCGAAATCCATACGGTTAAGGTACTTCAGTATTCGTATCAGAAACTTTATAGACAGTGATTAGTTTAAGAATAACTGGTTTAAAAATGTGTGATGTAGTACTATTTTTGGATGCAGTACCTATTTTAGAGAAACCCCTGACTTCTTCAAGTTCTTACTATGTGCAAAAACTACTTGCAAAAATTGTTGGTAAATTTAGTTATTTCGATGGACTTGGTCATATCTTCCAATTAATTTAGGGGCTAATTAGAAAATATGACCAAATCCCCGATTAACAAAACCAGTGGTAAATGAATGATGAATAGCCTTAGCCAATAATCGGTTTTATAATATATTTTGACTTCTATTATGATTATTCAAATTGTTAACCCTCTTGGAGTAGGTTCTGAAGGAATAGGTCAATATTGTCCATTTCGTATCAGACCCAAATAAATATGATTTAAATATTGCGACGTGCCAGGTTTAGGCTATATTGATTACTTCTTTAACTTTATATGAGATGTGTGATAATATTTAGAAAATGTTAAAATGTGCGTGAAATACCATATATAGTCGACCGAAGTATTCCATTTTCATACTTCATCCAATGCAGATCAAAATATTGATATGGAAAAAATTACAAGAAAATCGAACATTTATATCCATTTTTTTTTTGCGAAATCATAAATTCTGATAAATTCCATATTCATATCGGGTTTTTGGTTGAGGAAAATATTTAGATATAGCAAGTTGTAAAGATTCGCTGATTTGTTTCGTCAGTTATGACTGATAAAAGTATGTACATTTTATGAGCTTCATTTATATTCAAAATTGTGAACTTTTGTGGGTGAGGTATCACATGGAGTTGACCGATAATTTGCATCGTCACACTTGACATTGGGTAAATAAAAAATATTGTAACTTGTGTGATTTGGCGGCAACAGGACCCCTACGTCACATTTTATACGAGTTATAACTATTCAAAATTTTGACCCTTTGTGTGGGAGGTACCAGAAGGAGTGGACCAATATATCCCATCTTCACAGCAGATATTATGTTAGTAGACGTAATGGGATGTGTGAAACTTGAAGAGAACCGGATGTTTATTTCGGATTTTATAATCGTTTTGATTATTGAAAACTTTGACCCTTTGTGGAGGAGGTACCAGACGGAATAGTCCGATCTCTACCATCTTTATAATAAATCTTGTGTTGGAGACATTGAGATGTGTCAAGTCTGAATGAAATCGGAATTTGTTTTGGGTT